TGTATGTATGTATGTATACATGTGTACACGTGTCGTATAGACATATAATATGCATACATACATATATGTATGCACGTGTACATTGACATGTATTCATGTTTAGCCAAGCTAAAGAAAATAAATAGATAAGCAAATGCCTTCTATATACACACAGACATGCACACCGTATACATAGTTGAGTATGGGCATACAAAGATAGGTATCAGCATTAAGCATGCAAAGAAGACTGGCATGAAACTATGCACACATAGCACGATAGTGTGTGTGTGTGTGTGCATGTACATCTGTATATCAACAGCAACTAGGGCATCCACCCTTCCATCCATCAATCAATCCATCCATCCCTACACACATACATGCAGACATACCATACTGAGATGCACATTCTGTAATAGGTGTATCTATATATTTTCACACACATACATCCCTACACACACACACATGCATACATGCATATATGCATACATGCATTCATGCGTGCATGCATGCATGCATGCATACATACATACATACATACATACATACATACATACATATGTACCTACCTACCTACCTTCCTTCCTTCCTACCTGCCTGCATGAATGCATGGCATGTATACATACATACATACTTACATATACACAAATACACATGTATGCATGTGTGTGTATATATATATATGTGTATGTGAGTATATACAATATACATAGCCTGATCGGCTAGCGACATTTGCCGCACACCGGAGTATACTTCAGAAAAAGCTCCTTTTTTTTTCGCAAAGCTAAAGTCGGTCGGCTTATGCTTGACACAGCTAATCTGAGACGCCCAGCCCGGATCCCAGGTTCCAGGTTTAGTTTAACCAGTGTTCAGGGTATAGGGTTTGCGGTTTGGTTTACGGTTCAGACTTTAGGTTTTGGCTTGGAGTTGAGTTCAGAAGGGTTTGCGGTGCAGTTTAGGGTTTGGGGCTTGGGGTTGGTTTAGTTTTTAGGGGCCTCGATCCTCAGGAGACATCCCCTGAAACCTGAGGCCACGCGCGTCTTCGACGCCATCGTGACAGAGGAGTTGGCACAGCAGGCCGGTTTCTGCCCTGCCTGAATTACGGCTCAAGGCTCTGTGGTCTCTAGGGTTAGAGTTTGGGTCCAGGATGCACGGTTTGGGATTCTGACTGTAAAAGTTCACCCCATGCCTATATGGCCTACGCCAACTACACTCATCTCCAGCCACTGCAGCTCGTGTTTCAAGTGCAACCTGCGTCATTCCCAGCTCCCGGAGCCTCGAAGGACGAAACCACCTTCAATCACCTAAAATGCCACCCAGCACCCTGCTGTTGATGGGCAAAATCTTGTCGTGATTTATGCAATTCGTTGGAACTATGGGAATTCTAGCAGGATTGTGTGCATCTGCGGTAGCTAGCCTAAGCTTCCCCCTTCAAGAAGCCATTGTAGGCGAAGAATTGCGAAGATAGAGCAGCCTGTCTCGAATCACTAGAATCACTAGAAAGCCTAACCGAAATCCAACGTCGAAGCCCCAACCCCATACCCCATGCCAGGATGCGACCCTCAGCAAGGATGTTCAGCCACGCCCTCATCTCTTGCAGATGTCGTTCAGGCTGCGAAATCTCGAGGCTACCTGCGTTCTGAATAGTATCCGCAGTAATCAAGGCCGAGAGGCCTTGAGAGCTTCATGACACGTGGTTGTTGGAGTCTCGCGTCCACGGACTTGAGGAAGCCTAGAGGTTTGCAGCTTGTCCTGGAATGCCGCAATCGATGCGCACTGTTGCCGTGCGTCTCGCGAGCTCTTTTGGTTTAGCTGTACCCACTGGTGCAGCCGCCCTGATGTGAACAGCACATGCCATGACTGAGAGGTCCTGCCCTTGCACGGAAAGCCGACAACAGCTTGCATTTCAGGCCAGGTCGATCAGACTACAGTACTTGGCAGCCCTTGGAGCGTTTCCTACCACGAGGTATATTCCATAAGTGGCGCCCTTGTGGTCCACACCCAAAAACACTCATTCATCGAATTTCGGCGTGTTCTTGCTGACAAGCTACCCCAATTCTTTCTTGCACGTGAAGCGTCGGCAATTAGTGGAGTGGTTTCCTCCGCCATGGCTGGCTGATGCTGTCCTCCCTGCTGAAGCGGAGGCTCCCCAGTATCCGTGAAGTTCAGAACCCACATCTGCATGCATGCACATGTTTGCTTGTCTGCCTTTCTGCGTGTCAGAGCCTGCTTCGGCCTTCACCAGCATTAAAGCCGGGGCAAGGGTGGCAGTTTCCAGCCACAGCTTGTGCATGTGGAATGTCTACCTTCCCTCCAATGTACCGCTCTAAACCTTGCAAGACTCTAGGAAGTGAATCAAGAGCCCGATCTCAAAAGATAAATCCCTCGCCTTCAGCCCCTACCTGTCAGCCCTAGGCTGTATCCGAAACGTGAACCCAGAGTACCCGATACTGTATCCCTTCATTAAGGGGATATTCCCACCCTGAAGCACTGTACTGGCTCTCTTGGGAACCCGGAGCCTTCAGACGCTAAGCCCTTTTTGCACCCCAAGAAGTTGAACCCGCAAACGCGCACCCCCTTTCGCATCCCCGAGGCCGATCCCATGGCGCTTCTACCACTCCCTGCTCTCCATGCGCTGGTGCGCTTTTCCTCTGCTGACGCTGGCCTACAGCGGGTCCCTGCTTGTCGCATGACGCTGGGATGAAGTTAGAGAGAGAGCCCGAACTGCAGCATTCAGTTTAAGGTCTCAAAGCCCCAATTCATGTATGCTCATACCCTTGGAAGAACAAAAATTATCGTTGTCATAGACTCCAGATCCTAAGCCTTAAGTCCTCAAGGTCTTGACCCGAAATCATGAGTCTCAAGTAAGAGGTAAACTCAAACCCAAGTCTCTCAACTCGCAATCGCTACGGGGCGTGCGCAACAAGTATCGACAAGCGAAGGGTGAGAAGATGGAAGATACGCCGCATGAGTGAACAGGATGCAGCTAATATGTCCTGTGTTATCGTGGAAGCCTTGCTTGATGCGCGCGATATGGCGGAATGTCCAGTGTGGCCGGCCCGCCTGCCCCCAGAGAGGGCTTTCCATAGCAGACGAACGCATGCAACTGTTAAAGACTAGTCGCAATCGCAGGCTTTGCAGTCCTTCATATTTATGTCCATTGTCGTTGTGTTTGAATTTTGTTGGGCATTTTGCTTTTGATGCATGCTTGTGGTCGCAGCATGGGCCGATGCATCAGTCTGAATGAAGCTGTCTTCTTAGAAGCCATAGGCCATAGACACTAACAAGCCGGGTTCTTTAAGTCTAAACAACCCAGAAGCTCCGCAAAGCTACATGTTGCAGCCCTAAAGCCCTCAACCCCAAGCCCCAAGGCCTTAAGACCAAAACCCCAAAGCCTAAAATCACAAAAGTTATGAAATCCTAAGCCCCAACCCCTGAAACCCAGACGCTTGGAAACTGGGTTTAAGGCCAGCTTTGCGGCCATTTCGGCACCTGGAGCGCGGCCGTTCTGGCAGCCGATTGCTCCCGAAGCCGAGCCCGGGCTGTGGAGGCACCTTTTAGGGCTCTTTTGGGGTCTTTAGGGGTTTAGGGTTTAGGGTTTAGGGGTTTAGGGGTTTAGGGGTTTTGGGTTTAGGGGTTTAGGGCTCTTATGCAAGGGATCCTTGAAGGCTTCCTGCTATAAGGTTTTCTTTTAGAGGGCTAGCAAGGGTTTAGGGTTTAGGGAAATCAGGGCTACTATGGGTTATCGGGTGGTTCAGGGTTGCTTGTCTTTTCTGTTGTTTGGGATTTGTAAAGATGACCCATGGTGTTGAGGTTGCTTTATGGGTTGTCAGGAGGTTGCAAGGGTTATTCGGGATTCTGTTGATGGCTAGTGGGGCTTCGTAGGGCTAGGGGCCATGATGTCTATGTGATGGGACAGTCTTGGCACAGTAGTTAGATGAGGGGAGAGTAAGGGGTCGGTCGGTCAGGGCGAGTAAGATTCCCAAAGCCCCCAAAGCCTTTTGAAGCGCTGATCAGCCCCAAAATCCCCCATAAAGCGCCTTTGGAGCAAAACAGCGGAGACTGAGACAAAAGCCCCTTGAACCCCCGAAGGTCCTGGAGCCCTGAGCACGAATCTCCTCAGTCGCGCGAGGCGGCGGTGCTCCTGGGTCTCGCACTCCTTTTGAGCGGCCTACTCATAGCCTGCGCACCGCTGTTGGGCCTCGAGGCCTGCGGGGTCATGTTGAAGTTTTCGGATGAGGACTGGCATTTGGAGGTTCTGGTTTTGGAGTGTTCGGATTTAGGTATTGGGGTCTGGGGCTTGCATTTTTGAAGTTAGGCACACCGTGGGAAAGAAGGTCTGGAATGGGGCTTTCTCAAAAAATTGTGGAATGTTCGCAGGCAGTCAGATCACCAAACACTACGTTCATTCTGTTTGCCACAGACCGAACGGAGCGCACTTTCTTTTGATTTGCCGACTCTTATCGTTGCGGGGGGCTTCTTGCCGACGTGTGAGGTTGTGGGCATCCGGGTGTCTTAGTCTGAGCACCCCGGTATCTTTGGAAAGAGACCTCTCATGGAGTTTCCACACCCCTAAGCCCCACACCCTCTTTCATTGAAATACAAGAAACTGCACCACCCCCTTTTGTAAGCTCCACAAAACCGCAGTGAGCCCCTATGACAAGCTGATAAGACCCTCCAGCTCCTCGCGGCCTACACCGCGCTGCTCGGCCTTGGTGCGGTGGTGGGCCACTTCCTCCACGTCGGCTTGGGAAAGGCAGCCCGCGAAGACACGAGGAAGTAGAAGAAGAGAGAGACTACAGGACAAGCAAGGACATTTACGACAACACAACAAAGGATAATCTCAACAACAATCTACGGCAAACTCAACAACAGTAAGGCCAAAAACGGTTATGCCATGGTGACGATGATGATGGTGATGATGCCGATGATGACCGTCAGTGCGGTTTGAACGCAGTGTCCTTGGCTTAACCTATCGATGTTGGTGGAGAGGTCTGGATGGAGGCTGGGAGTTGGATCGAGAAGCTTTTCGAAGGTTCGAGGTTAGGGCACCGAGGGCTGTTCGCGGGTGGAGGGCGACTTTAATTTGATTCGTGCCTCGTGGGTGGTCCTTGTGGGGGCGTCAGATGATTCCCTTGCAGATGGTCGGGGTCCTGGGTTCTAGGTTCTTCTTCTGATTTCTTTTGCGTGCTCGGTCGCAAAATGCCGACTCCGAACGTAGGTATGACAAGAGTTCGAGGATCCTGAGGGTTTGTGACGGAGCCTGGTCTTTGGGCATTCAGAGATGAGGTTCCCGGGCATGAAGTTTCAGAGTTCGGGCGCAACGATGGTTTAATCAATTTTTAGTTTGACTCTGACCATCAAATGCTCTCCGGGGCTACACTTCTTCAATGGCCCCCGGTGCCTGATGGACGGAGAAGTACGTCTTGTGATCCCGGTCCCTGCGACGCAACTTGAAAGAAGCGGCATGTTCTCGTTCGGAGTAAGACGGATCCGAGACCCTTGAACCCCAACCCCGGAAGAAGGTCTTACCTGACGGGGTTTTGGGGCACCTCCGAGTTCCTCACAAGGTCTCGGCTGCTCCCAACTTGCGCACTTCTCCCAACCGAAGCTCAAGGCCCAAGCCACGCACGCCTTTTGGGCCCTCTATCAGCCGCAAGCTATGGCTCTGGTCTACCAGCTGCACTCGGACTGGCCCTACAACATCCTGCGGCTTCCGGGCCCTTTGAACACAGGTTGTTTTGGTATGGTGAGTAGGGTGTATCCTAAACTCGAGGCTGGGCCTATAGAGTCTACCTTTGCGAGACACAAATCCCAAAACCGAGAACCTGAACCCTAGAGCCCAAGCCTTCAAAACCCGCAAAACCCCAAAACCCCGCATCCCAGGCTTTGGAAACAGCCCGAGCGCGTCGGCACTCCGAGGGTCCTTCAGACCTACCTGGCACAGCCCGAGGCGCTCCGGTTCCTGGTGAACTCCAACTTCGCCTCCAAGGACATCTCAGGGTTTCGAGCTGAGGGGTCCTCGGATGAAAGAAGTCATGCGAGGGTTCAGGGGTGCAGGGATTGAGTTGCTCGTTTTTTATTTTTGTTTAATAGGGTTTCGGGGTTTGAGTCTATTGACGTCAAGGTTCATGCAATGCCATGCAGTATAGCAGTCTGGTGACCAGGACCACTTGAAATGCTCGATTCTCCTGACTCGACCGTAAGCCTTTCCTTACCCAAGCCTGTTGCCTCAGTGACAGCAAGGACTTCCATGAGGTGCGGGCGATCTGGCAAGGTGGGCAGAAGGAGGAGGTGTGCCTTTACGTCATCAAGGACTACGAGGGCCACCCTACCTTGGAGGCTTGTCAGTGGGAACTTGGGCTATCTTGTTAAAGCAAGCGCGTGGAATGCACCTTGCACCTCGACGCTCAATGATGGGCAGGCCGGCTTTGCTGCTTCGGAGACGGATGAAGCCGATGGCTGGTGCTGCCTCCCGCTTCTGAAGGCCGTGTAGGATCAGAAGATTTTACAGCCTGTTCCCAGTTTTGGGTGTCAGTCTAAATGGTTCCCACTGAAGTTTCGATGGTTCTAAGCCCTTCAGATTCAGTTCAATGACAAAAGTATGACAGAATCCTGTGTAATCCGCTGTGAAGCCTTGTTGTAGCCGCCTTCAGGGAATCGGAGAGACCGAGGGCTACCAGTCTGGGCAGGTGGCCTGGTCCGCAGTTTGCACAAGCAACGATTTTGGGAGCTTCAGAAATTTCGGGCCCCCATTATGGTGACGCCAGGATCCCCATGGCCAGGACCCCAAGCAAGAGATCCCGAAGTTTAAGAGCATCGACCGACCGAAACCGGAAGCCGGCACATTACGATGGACTCATGTTCTCCGAAAGCGGCCATCTAGGACTCTAGGATTTCAGAGGCGCGTAGCAGAGGGTACCATGTGGAAGAAATTGGAAGAACATATGTATCATTTTGAGTTGTTTCTGCATGCGGTAGAACAGTCTCGGCGGTCTCCTGGGCTGTACAGCGTCTAGATTTTGTAGCTGGCTTTCCATCCCGGACGACAACGAGGAGTAGGACGAGGAGGAGGGAGGGCAACCACGATGATGCAGACAAGATCGACGATGCCACCGACCATGATGATGATGATGATGATGATGATGCCCCTCATGTTTCTGACCACCAGGATGATATTCAAGGTTCATCTGGCAGTGACCACGGCAATGACTGTGCTCATGATGATGACGTCGATGATGACGGTGATGAAGATGATGACCATGGTGTTCATGATGTCGATCACGACGCGGTTTTTCTGTCACGGAATGTCACGGTAAGTTGCCTATGAACTGTTTTTTTTGCCGTGCTTGCTATAGTTATGCTGTTTACGAGCAGCTGGCTTCATGCAATTTTTGCTCTTTAATTACGCCGAGGCACTGAGTCTTTCAGAGCTCCAGAGCCTCTGCGCCTCGGACCTCACCCGAGTCGCCGCGTTCCTGCGCTCCGATGCCTGCAGCTCCACTTCAAGCGGTTTCGGCTTTCGATTTCCGGGTCCTGCAATTCTGAAAATAGCGACATGTGTCTGCGTGAGATGTTGTTTGCTTATTGGGTGATTCTAGTAGGCCTCTAGCTTTTACTTCGGCCAGAGAGCCCCAGGCAAGTCCGTGTACGTACTCACTGGTGCCGGTGTTTCCACGGGCGCGGGCATTCCAGACTTCCGGTCGGCTGGTGGTCTCTACGACTCCATCCGCCCCGAGCTCATAACTGCCAGCTTCATACAGCGCCAGAAGATGAGATTTGATCCTACATATGTGGTTGAAAGGGACATGTTCTTCCAGAATCCCTTTCCCTATCTGGAGGTAAGGCGGCCGTTTATTCTCGGCACGCATAGGCAACAGTGGAAGGCAACCATTTCTCACTGGTTCATGAAGTTTCTGGAAGAGGAGGGCAAGCTGAAGCGATTGTTTACACAGAACATTGATGGCTTGGACTACCAGGCTGGCTGCGAAACAGATTCCTAGTCTTGAACCGCGCTCTCGTAACGTGGTGAGGTATTCTCTGGGGAATTGTTTGGGTCAGGAAGAGGTCTGGAAAGATTGAAACAACCCAGGACTCTTTCTTTAAGCTTTGTAGCTGCAAGCAAGAGGTAGCTTCGATGCGGCGCCTCAGAAACCCCCAATAGCTTGACTTAGCAGCAAAGCGGGTGCAGCATCGCCATTCCAACAACGTAGGTGTGGGACATCTGCAACACGAAGCTTTGCTCACCAAACCTCTGCTCGAGATACAGCCGGATCCGAGACGCAGATAATGAGGGGCTTGCAATATAGACCCTTAAGCAGTGGTTTCTTAACAAGGGAGCCCAACACGACTCCAAATTTCAACAAACCCCTCATCGCAGCGAAGCCCCAAAGTTTCTCCGTTCCCTGGCAGACTGGTATTTCGCCGACGCGGGTGACGAATGTGCACGGCAGCATCGCGCGCGTCTCCTGCGAAGGCTGCGGAAAGGAAATGCCGTTCGACGACTTCTGTGCCCAAGTCCGTACCAACATCAAGGACACAGGAAAGCCTCGGCGGAAGAAACACACTCCCAAGCAGAAGCACTCCCGGTATCACAGCAGCAGACAACCTATTCGAGAGTTGGCATTGGAAGAATGCTGAAGTTGTCAGATGCTCATTGCACGAGGTTCGGTATGTAGCAGGACTCTGTTTCCGTTTCTGTGCTTTTGCGGTTCCAGTCGCAGGACATCTACAAAACGGATCCAGAAGCTCCGGAAGAATCCACCAGCATTCCCTGCACCTTGGAAGCCATGTTTCGCTTTTCACTCTTCGCCGATTTACATGGTGGAAGCGATAACTTAGCTCCTTAGATCCGACCTTATCACCATCCAGGCCGCCCGGGGCTCATGCTGTCGTTTCGCTTTGAAGGTCCGCACTGCCAGCACCCCCTGGTCAAGCCCAACACCATCCTCTTCGGGAGCAACCTTCCGGAAGAGTTCTTTGGTCGAAAATCCAGGAGGTACTCCCAGATGCAGCCCGTGACAGTACGAACATGAACAACACCAACAAATGATCTGTGAATCCTCATTGTGGCTCCCAACACCAGATTCATTAGCAAGGCTGCGGCCGGGATCAGCATGAGACTCATACTCAGCAAGTCAATGTCGACATCATAGTGTTGTGTTGACTTCTGCGGATTTGGCTCTTGTATCTGTCTCGAGACTGCGGCTATGCTGGTGACTCAGATGACGAAGTCAGCTATGCTTCCTCGACACCACACGACACCGCCACGACAACACTAGCACTACTACAGGACCCCACCATGACGACGACGAGGAGGGCTACTGCGACGACGACTACTACTAGCACTACCACTATCTCTACCACTCGACTACTCCTACTACTACTCCTACTCCTCCTACTACTACCACTACTACGACACTGTTATGTCATTCTCGAAGTCTTCGTAGGCGTTTCTCCTTTGTACATACTCACAGAGCTATCGAACTCATCTGACTTGGTCCGACAGCTTCCACAAAAGGTGCGGTGCGGTGCCAAGCCTGTGCAGCCAAAGTTCCGGCCCTCAAGCGCAAGGCAAACTGTAAAGCGCGAACTGCCAATCTCCAAGCGCCAGCCGAAATACTCAGGGAGGGTGTGGGGTATGTATGCCTGAATTGTAGCCAGCATGCTGCGGGCGGCATCTGCCCGAACATGTCCATGTTCATGGAACCACTGTTGTCTAACACGATCGCCACCTGCAGCACAACGTCGGATTTAGGGTTTAGGGTTCAACGAATACTGTAAATTATTTTAATCACTTGAGACACACTGCAACCACAGCGCCGCGGTGGCAACTACAAACGACTCGAAAGCCCAGTCTCTTCATAAGGTATTTGCATAAAATGGATCACACTAAGCACCTACAGAAGGACAGTAGAAGGAATAGCGCTAGCATTGTTCCAAAGTTTCCGCACATTTCCGCACCAATAAGCCCTACACGCTTCCAGAGGACATAAAACCCGAAACCACAAGCCAAAGGCCGAAAACCCAAAAGACAGAGCCTAGGCCCTTGATCCTCGAGTTTCAAGGTTGGAAGATAACACCGTTGATTTTGGATCGTACCTACAATCATGAGCAGAAGCCTGACATAGTCTAATTAATATACCCCAGAAAAGGTTGAAATTGTGCTACCGAAAAACACTTGGGTCGGAAACTGCCGTCATTGCTTAGAGCCTAAAGTCCAGACCTCAGAGTTGACGTTAAAGGGCCTGTTATTGGGTTGGGGAGTGCAGAACCCTAAACACAACAACAGCCAGAGAGCCCAATGCTCGTGACATAAGGAAGGCCTCAGTTCTGGAACCCTTCTTTTGCTGGCTTGAAGTGTCCAGGAGTCTTTTGTTTTTTTTTGTGTGTGTGTGTGTGTCAAAAAGTCACAACATGTTGGGCTTTGGGTTTCCTTGGCTCGAGGATTCCCGAACACTGCCCAGGATCTAAGCCCCCCATCCCAACCGAACACCAAACCTCGATGTCGTAAATCAGCGGCGTCAGCATGTCGTATGCCAGGGTATGGGCGTGGCCCGTGTCCTCCGCAGCCGCCCCGAACCGCCACCCTAACGCCAAAAGCCGTTTAACTTCGGTGTAGCAGCTTAAGTAGGTTCAGGCATGGACAGCTGCAACGATTTGCAATCCCGAGCACGCAGAGTTAAACCTATGAAGCTCCATCCCAAAATTAGTTGTTTAAGACTTGAACAAAAACTCAAACCACGACCCTTGGAGAAAACGGATATATACCTCCCCACCCTTGACAGCTCAGGTCCTGCAGCAGGTGCTCCAACCGGGAAATCATGGTCAACTCCTGTCAAGCTGGGATCGCTTTGGGAGTTGACAACGTTAAAACCCTACACGTAAACTCAAAAGCCGTAATCTCTGACCTACAAACCATCAAACCCTGATCCAAGCCGCAAGCTTGGAAGGCTTCCTTCTTGCGACATAGAGAGGGATGCTATTGTTCTGGCATTTCGAGGTCATGCTCTTCAGAACGAGTGGAAAACTGTGAGGCAAACCTTCATCCATAAGATGTTGTACGTATTCCGCATAACCCGGAGACGCTTCGTAGATCCAGTGTGATCTTCGACAAGCTTTTCCACACTCAATGGCCCAAGACAGCACCCCTTAACCCTCAACCACCCCAAAACCTAAACTCAGCGGCAGTCCTTAGGAGTGAACCATGACGTATCCAGCAAACCTGGCCGTCGGAGACATCCTCTCTCGCCCCAAACCGGCCCGAACCCCACATATGCTAATCCTCTTGCACTATGCCCCCAAAGCCACAGGCCCGCAAGCCCTGAAACAAAAAGACCTAAAACCCTCAACCCGGAAACCATCCGATGTTCCGGCGAGTGACGGAGGGGGTAAAGGCCCGAGCCGCTAATCATCTGATCCATTATGAACCACGGTCTCCTTCGCTGGGGGCTTTAAAAGGGTTCGGGTTCTAGAGCCTAAAGGAGTCAGGGATACGTCTTCCAACATTCAAGTTTTTAAATCCTGTCGGGGTTTAAGATTTACAAGGTTCAGGATCTGAGGCTAAAGGGTACAAGATGTATAAGTCTCAGTGTTCTAAACTTTAAACATTGGTTCTTTTAAGTTGGGTCATGTTGGCGCAACAAGCGCATTGCCAAATGTTAATCTCATCTGAAACTCCCTTTTTTCTTCCCCTTCACCCGTTACTTAGGTTATGCGTTATTAACCTATACTTCAAAGCCAAGCTTGTTCCCTGCCCCTTTCCACACCCTGCCTGAACCCAAACCGTTCCGTAGCTGGTCCTGCCTCCCACCCCTAAAAACAACTTGACAACCCACAGCCTCAGCATAATGAACAAAGTTACTTTCAACAAGAATACATCACCCGACGTCTTTTCAACTCTACGACCCAAGCCCCACTACTCCAAGCTGTGGCGCACCAGTATTTTTGCATTCCAGACTTGGGCGCATGTGGCAGCAGAGCTATTTTGAGCAACATTGCAATCGAACAGCCAAATACAGCGAACTGTCATAAGGGCAGATCATACAAGAAGGTATAGTATGTTACTACGGCTGTAGGCAGGAAGCGAGTGCGTCCTACGAATACGTTACACACAGCAGCGAGAGCGACGGACAGGAACAGACGCTACGGCTGCATGAAGACCTATATAACAGCAGCGCACACGAAACGGTGTACGGAAGCCCCCACGAGACGGCACCCAAACGAGACAACATCGGGCATGAGCCTACACAATGCGGGCAGCACTTCATGTCACAGGAAGACGGAACCAGACAACGAACCCGCAGGCAGGAACTCTGCAATCTGGCGATGCACGCCGCTGCAGGTACCGCACAGGCCATGCGCGCAGGTTCCTTTACCTAAGTATGGTCGAAACTGGTCCAACAGCCAGTGTTTCCTTGTGGCCTGGCCGATCTCACTGTTGCGGATGACGACCACAACCCGCCACGTTCGGCTGAACCGGTCCGTGTTGCGTGGCTTCAACTGCCGGTGAACTCTGCAGGAGGGGTTCCGCACTGGTTCCGCTAAGCCCAGAAGCTTTCGCAAGGCCGGGGTTGCAATGAGGGCGCAGTTTTTGCTTTGGCTTTCTGTTTCGATGCCTTAGCTTTCGGCCTCAATGCAACCTAGATCGCCCGACGTGGATGGCCGATGGGGCAGATGAGGCCTCTGCGGTCTTTTGTTGGTAAGCGCCTTTTTGGCTTGGGGCTTCTGCGGCTTGAATGTGTGCTTGGAGGGCAATCAGTTGCTGATGTAGCGATCTCGAGAATTCCTGTTGCTCCAAAACGTTTCTCGCTTGAGCTTCTAGCCTTTGTTCCCAATTGTCGATTTTCTGATCTGAGCGACTGAATCAAAGCATCAGCCTGTGACCCAACGGCTGGTTCTCAGATGTCACGGGTTCGGCTTCACCCTGGATGGCTGCTGCCCGCGATCCCAACTGCTACAGGTAGTTCCCTGATCTAAGCGTCTGTATCACGGCTTGTGTTTCAGCCTGGAAGAGGTCCGTCGCAGGTCATCCGACCTCTGGAGTCTGGACCCGGGTAAACAACAGCATTCACTACCTGTTCAGAAACCATTCGTAGAACATGTACAGTCACTACCAAACGTAGGGATCCATCCAAGCCTCCTTACGCTAGCAGCACCAGTGCACATTCGCCGAAAACTGTCAGCAAAAAAGGGGTTAGAAAGCTGCGTATAATGATACATTGCCCCACGCAGTCAACACACTTTCGCTCAAGCTGAAGAGCAGAGTAAACATAGCAGCAAGCAACAAATAATGACGGGACCTTACTGGGGAAACTCCCCTCAGCAGCACTTCAATAGAAACTACAAAAAAGCTGGAAATGCACAAACAACACACAAACAGGTAAAATTCACAACATCGCAACAAAACGAAACCACGTCTAAGGGAAAGGAAAGTGCTGGCCAAGACCTCAGACAAGCAATAACCTCCAGTTCACAAAGTCAGACATGCCCAATAGACATTAAAACACAGACTAGCAATATACCATATGCGCACAAAGTCCACACAGTTACGCCACCCAGCCCCGACAGTACTCCACGTAGCCTTAAACAACAAAACAACGACCCAGGCTTTGCTGACCTCCTCCGGAGGCTCCTTAAACTGCAGGGCTTCGCAAGTCTCTTCCACACGGAGTTCTGTAAGTCCACGGGCAACCTCAGCGTCCATGCCTTGTTCTTCCAGCTGGCCCACCAGGAGAGTATAAACCTGAACCTTGAAAGGGAGCGGCCGATTGGCCGGAGCATCCTCCGAGCCCTCTGCCTTGACTTCCTTAGCCCCTTCCTGCCACCTTTGAAGAGCCTCCTCAACCCCCGCGCGAAACCCACCTGGCAGAAGCACAGCTGCTGTCGCTGAGCCCTGTCTTTACCCACGCCCTTTGCAGTCGCGTTGGCAAGCTGCTGCACATTAAGCAGCGCCGCTTCCACCCCACCAAGCCGGTCGGCCACAGACTTGTTCGCCATTGCACGCCCCGAGCTCGAGAAGCAAAGCTGCTTCGCATGGAGAGAATTGAACGGGCAAGCTTGGACATTACCGAGAACAAGAATGTTACAAGTGATCGCGCTTCAGGTGATATGTAAGCACACTGCGATACACCTGACTCTGTAAACCCTGATTGATGCATAGATGGCATAGATGGCACATTGCAGGGAAATCCTTTGCTTCAATGCGATGATCTGCCGCGATGTGAAGACGAAGACTCGGCTCACCTGGCCAATGCCCATGACAAAAAGGGCAGACAAACGGCCTGGCCAAAACATAGTCATAATTCTTATGTCTGGTAAGCCACATCTCACGTTCGAAAGGCCGAGGACACAACGGACAATCAAAGCCTGTCGGTACCTTCCTACCTTATCAGAAATAAGTTTGTGATGCGAAAAGCCACCCTTTGTCGTATAGCTTTTGCCACACCCAGGAAAGTCACAGACATAATCTCCTCGGTCCACATTGGTGGTTCGTGCTTTATTGTGCAGGATCCAGTACTTCGTGCGAACGCGCGGCGCCACCGCACCATCAATAACCGCCTGCGCATCCCTTTGATTTTTAACATACCACGCCGGCGGCTTTTGCTTTCTGGAAACCTTCCGACCTGGCGAGAACGTGGAGAAACAGTCTGACCAAGGACTTGCGATTTTGCAAGGCATTTTTGGAAGTCGCGCACTGCAACATCGGGAACATCACTCAAGACGGCGATCTCCTCAATGACACTTAAGGGCCAAGAGTGTGGGGTTCTATGGGCCGGTGCCAGCAAAGCCGTCAACATTCAGCACGTAAAAACAGCAGGTTCCTACGCAGGCGGGCGCCCAAGTTAAAATGGATCTACCTGCAGAATACACCGATAAAGTGAGGCTATGTTTCGCGCGGTAATTAGACCGCCGGATCTGGCATTCCAAATTGTGTGTTGGACCTGGCTGCCTGACAGATTGACGCCACCAGGATGGCCAAAGCGCACATCAAAACTCGATTTGTGATGGGATTTTTGCATGGAAGATTGTCCTTGGGAATTGAGTGCTGTCTCTTGTAAAAAAGTTGTAATAAGCACCAAGGCCACGAATGACTGCATTTTTTTTGCTCATCGACGTGATGTTAGCTGACAAAATAGTCAGCTGAACATAACCTATGCTTTGTGGTGAGGCGCCTTTTGTGAGTGACGAATGTGCCTTCTGATTCTGATAAGGCACAGGAGGCTGCGTTGCACTGTGTTGACACCTGGGTGGCAAGGCAAGGCCACAACACGCGAATACAAAAGCGAGGAGAAAAGTGAAAACACGGCCTTTTGTTGAAATAACTTTTTAGACATGTAGCCCCTCCACCATCCTTCTTTGCAACGTCCTGCTGCGCCGGGGGTGACCCAGACCAAGACTTGAGCCAAAATGGCTACTTTAATATAGTATTCTCAATCGCCATTTGCCCTTCTTCTGCCGAAGGAGGGGCCGATGCATCTTCCGCTCGCGCTTCCGGCCCCAATCTCGGAGAATCTCTCGGCGCTGCTGGATCCAGGCCTTTTGTTTGGTGAATTCGCGGATTTAAGTTTCACTTTTAGGCTTCAGGGTTTCTTTAATCAAACGTTTGTTGTTTTGGGGTTGCGGGGTTCGGGCTATTAGGTTTTGTGTTCAGGGCTTCCAAGGGCGTAGCGTCTAGACTCACAAAAGGGTTCCTCTGATCGCGAGGCTCTTCGAAAAGGTCCTAAGGCCTTTATGCGTGCTGCATAGAGTTCACTGTTCAATATCCTGTAATTCAGGTCTCCTTGTTAAGGGCGTCAATTTTTTCTTCAGCATCCCTCTTCTACTTAAGTAACGGTCCTTCGGTGAGGCTCTTTGGAGGGTGTGCAAGGCGGAGAGTTTGAGGTCTGCCGGACTAGACGTGTTCCAAAACTTCCGCCTTTTCTTGATTCTAAGTCTAGGAATCTGTCCAAATAGACTAGTACTTTCAGATAGCTTCGAGCGTGGAGAGAGTTAGACTGAGACAAGGGAGACGAAGGAAAGCAACTGGGGGTTGCATGCAACACCATTCCATCGAATGCTCGGCTGACCTTCACTATGCATGTTCTGATCCATGGGTGCGTGAGAGTGGTGGAGCGTGTGTGCACATTTTTGGCAGCCGGGGACACGTCCTGTAGTTGTGTCTGTGGTGCAGAAGTTTGGACTTGACTTGAATGTGTAGCCTGTGCCTGAAATGTAATGGAGGTAGTTCCATCTACACCCACAATCTTCAGCACCTCTTGAGTTTTTCCTCAGCAGGGGAAGGTTTGTGTTTCCAGTTTGGCGTTAGGTTTTTGGAGCAGGGATGTACGGCCTAAGCTTTCGCAGCCGCTCCTAATCCGATAACCGGAAAGCCTCCCGTCTGGGAAAAAGCCAGCCCAGTCCACAACCCAAGGCCCGACACGCTCGACTCCAAAACCCCTGAAACGCAAAAAATCCCAGTTTCCCTGCCTCCATGCTCTCAGGCTGCGCGATGCCCTCAGGCACATGAAAATGCTCGGCGTGGTATGTAGCCTCGTCGTACATGTTCTGAGGCCCCACCTTCGGCTGATTCTGACGAGGTTAGCTGGACTTATATTAACTTGCTTGTATAGGTTTAGCGTGCTCAGACTTGTCCGAAGATTTCGAAGTCGTGGGAGGGTCTCTAGATGCAAACCAACATCCGCCAAAATTGTAGGATTGCAGGATAGGCTTTATACCTGGATACACTTCACGAAAGCGGTTTCTCCTCGGCGAAGACTGTAAGGAAGATGAAACCTGCGTGACGTTCTTTCGAAGACGCCTTGTGGCGGCCAGGAGCCTTAGTTTTGGTGCCTTGCAGTCGGCCCTAAGAACTGCTGAGACGGGAACCACTACAGTAGAAGCCCAAGAGTTGGAAACCCAATTAGCCTAAATCCTCTAGAGTAATGTATAGGGAATCCCAGCACTACTTGTCCTTAATCCGGTTTCCAGCTTTTTGAGGTTCCTCAAACTTAGGGCGCCTTAGAGTTCAAGTCCCGATACTTAGGATCCTAGTATTCAGAATTCTTGAGGCTCCTCATCTTCTGAAGGTCCCGCAAGAAACGTGCATAAAGAGCCAAAACCCTATAAAGCTCCCAAGTGTTATCTTCAGACAGGGGTCAACACATCCCAGACCAAAAGATACGAACGCTTCACCTGTCAACGCAAACACCGCCAGGGTGCAAAACTGCAAACTCCAAACTCCGAGATTTGAAACACAAGCACACATATATACACACACACACAAAACAAAAAAAAAACAAAGAGACTGAACGCTAGAAGCTCCGCCTGAGGAACACCCTGAACCTTGTAACGGTGCTTGAGCCGCCTCCCAAGGTTCCAGCGGCGGCGCAGAGGGGGACAAGTCCTCTTGTGCAGGTGGCAGCAGGGGCTCCTGAGCAATGAGCCGGAATTAGAACATCCGCGGGCTGCCTAAAGAAAATCGATGCAGGGAGTTTGGGTTTAGAGGTTTTGCCATTTAACGCTTCGAGGTTTGACTGTAGGGTGGGTTTGGGGGCCAAGGTTTGCAAGGTCGGGCCCAAGACTCCAATGTCCCAAGCTCCAGTTTTCAGGGTTCATAGATCAACCTGTAGGGGATGAAATGAAACCTCTCACATTATAATAAACACTGTGTTGATCATTGTTTGGTATTTGGGATTCAAGGAGAATAATGAACGCCAGTATATAGGGGGAAGGGGGATATTCATCGTGAGGCTACCTTGGGCAGCGGCGGCATCATGAAAGGGGCTTTCAAGTGTTTGGCAAAGGATTCCTGCCTAAGGATACTTTTGAAAGCCTTTTCCAGGTACTGTAGAAGTTTACCTGAAGATCCGTACTTGTAGGATCAGTCGGCTTTGGAAGTAGGAGTGCGTCTTCAGGGGTATAGGGCTCATGAGATCAGCAGGGTCTTTAAGTCTTAAGTCAGGCAGGTCCTTAGAACCTCAAGTAGGACCTCCAGTTCTGTGTGCGTGTGTGTTTGGGCGCTGCCTAGCGGTCCCTCCGACACACTTGACCATACTATTCTGATGATCAAGTATTGCGATTATTATCATCATGCGTTTAAGTCCCTCGTAACTACAAACCCAACAACCGGCCCAATAGCTTGCCGGGGCTCCGTGTAAGGTTCCGTCCAGGGCAGCGGCGTCGGAGTTTCCATCTGCTGTTGAACCGGCTGTTGGCTTGTAACCTGGCGCGTCTCTGTGGCATATCAAGAGATATTTAGAAGTACCGTCATCACCACATGTATTCATGTTTGTATTTGTAAATTTGTTTGTGTATGTGTGTGTGTGTGCGTGTGTACGACAGGCGGTACACAGAGTTTATCTGATAGGTCCTTTAGGGGGCTTTAGCAAGCTTGTAGGACCTTCATCCGAGTTGATTATTGTCTATGCCGTCAAAGCCGATTGTAGAGGAACAATAATAAGAAAGATCACGGATGATTGAAACTCATGATAGGATCGTTTCTTGCACCTACGAAATGAGACCTGCGAATCAGTCAGGTATGGCCCATACCGTACGGGAGTTTCAGGAAGCGGGGACCCCTGACATTTAATTAGCCGAAATAAGTAGCAGGCTCCTTAACTGGAATTGATGAACTCCGGACATCAGTCCCTAGTTTCAGAATCGCCATACTTGAAAACCCTCATGGAACATTATAACAAACTGTTTATATTAAAGCTTGTGCCAACCTGTATAAACTTCATTCAGAGTGGCCAGAGACGCAGCCACCGAGCACAATGCGAAGTTGGTACTAACCTGCCCGGCCGAGCCGCTTGGTGTCTATGGGTTTAGGAGTTTTGGGGATCGGGTCGACGAGAGTACGACTGTGATCCTCGGAATTTGTTTGGTCTTAAACCACGTCTTTCCACACGCTCGACGGCGTTGCGGCCCAAACGGATGTTAACGTTGAAGCACGGGACTGTTGTAATCCAGCTTCTGATGCTCACCTTCCACACTCCAAGCCCCCAAGCCACCACACAGGCCTCCGCAATGGGACAGCGAGTCCGGCAGAGCGGGCATTCCACCTGGCAGATTATCGGATCCTTAAGGGAGGGTGGTTCAAGCGGGGAGGGTCCGAGGGATCCTTCGGGAGCTTTAGGGAACCTAAGGGAGCCCTAGGGAGAATTGGGGATTATTGGGTTTTTTACCCTTCTTAGAACCCCCTCCCTTAAGGATCCCATAAGCAGAAGGCATTCGCCGAGCCTCAACCTTCCTGCAAGTTGAACTGCTGCTTTTCATTGGGTCGGGAATCCTACACCGTGAACCGCAAAGTCGAAAACCTTCATCCTGCGACATACCGGGCAATGAAGGCTAGGAGCGAAGGCTCCGCGGCCTTGTTGTTGTTGTTGTTCCTGCTGCTGCTGGTGTTGTTGTCGGCGTCGCCTTCGTAGTGTCGGTGTCGTTGCCACGGCCGTTTTCGTTGTCATCGTCGTCACTGGGCTTAGGGTCGGGGTCGGGGTTGGGGTTGTTGTTGCTGTTGTTGTTGCTGTTGTTGCTGCTGTTGTTGTTGCTGTTGCTGTTGTTGCTGTAGGTTATTGGTTGTTGGTTGTTTGTTGTTTGCTGTTTGCTGCTTGTTGGTTGCTGTTTGCTGTTCGCTGGTTGTTGTTTGTGCTTTGTTGGTGATGATGGTGTGGCTGCTTTTGCGCTTGATGTTGCTCTTGCTTTTGTTGTTGCTGTTCTTGCTGTTCTTGCTCTTCTTTTTGTGGTTGTTGTTGTTCTTCTTCTTCATCTGCTTCTTCTTCCTCTTGGTGGTGCTTCCGCTGCCCTTCCTGCTGCTGCTGAAGTGGTCCTTGCCGTTGCTGCAGCTGCTGCTGCGGACACCCCAGCAAACACAGCATTAAGGGGTAGAACTTACGTGGACAACTTCAGACAAAACCGTTCTGGGGCCCGTGCACTTTGTCCAGCCTGGCACCGTGAGGAATAGTGATGAGGAGCATGATGGTAATCATGATGACGAAAAAAACAGGGTAATGATGCTGACGGGGAAGATACACAACATAGCTCGAAATACTGCTGAAGCTTAACGCTTACTTGTACCGCGAACATTATTGAACCACACAGCGCAAGCTTCCAGCCCGTTTGCGGGCAGTGCTGCAGGTACAGCCAGAAGAAGACATACCATCACGATGACATTCGTCACCAACAGGGCAAGAAAATACCGCCAGTTTTATGTCACAACAAACGAGTACGGCGGAATGACAGTGAGTGTAATGTATTGTAATGTACACCGTTTACAAAGATACAAAGCCAGGATGAACAACACCACTTACCATGCTACAGCTCGGAAATTCGACGCAGAAGGCGACAAACATCAGAACCGGAAAAAACATGGAAAAAACCCTGAAACAGTTGACCCAAGCCACGAAAAAACACAGAAACAACAACAGCAATGGCAGCAGCAAAAGCAAAATCAACAACAACAACAACAGCAGCAGCCGCGGCGGCGGCAGCAGCAGCCGCCACTTCGACAACCACAACAATAACAGCAACAGCAGCAGCAGCCACAACCACAACCACAATTTTTCAATTGAACGAACGCTGCGTGAGCGTGCTCTGCGCTTTGCGGGCGATTACCACTTTGGCACTCACTATTGGGTCAAAACCGACT